CAAACCTTTTGAATGTTCCTGCACTCCCACTTTAAAACTGCACCTTCAAACCACGTCTTTTAAAAAGACCCAACTCTTCCATTTCTTTATCTGAAGTTTTTTTATAGCATACTTTCTACTGTTTTTGCATTTTCTGTATCGTATTGCACACGTCTCGTTTTTGCAGGTTTTTCTCTTTTGCCAATGCCAAAAAATCTTAAACTAAAATAAGTCTTGCTTAATTAACTTAATCACTAGTTTTTACTTCTGGGAAACACCTTTGCAGCCCTCTGTGTGTGCATGTATGTGGGTGGGTTGACAATCTTGATTAATTATAACCTCCGGGAGATTCACAACTGTGGAAATTTTAAGATTTTGTTGTAAATAATCCGAGGAGAGATACTTGGTGAGGACGAACTCGGTTCTGGTGTTCCATTTTTTGCTGGTCTTCATGTGGGCTGAGCCTGAAAAACAAACTTAAAATACTTTGAATGTTGACCTAAATGTGTCTATAAGCAAACGGCAACTAATGTTCTGTTATACTATCAGATTTACTTCACCCACCTGATCCTTCACCACTACGGCGTTCTGATTTAGTTTGGGCACAACCAACAATCTTTGGGGGTCTCATTATCTCACTTGTGATGATGGATATGACAGACGTGCACTTATATTTACACAGCCAAGGCCCTCCAGCCTGAAGGTTAAGCCTGTGGTTTCCACCACCCCCTCACTGTGTGATTGTCAAGAGAAGAATTGGTGGGGATGGACTTATTTGCATTATTTCCTGCCTCCTCTGACAACAGAGCGAGGGCGGCTGGGCCGTTGATGGAGCTTCACGTTGTCTTCTTGTAAGGACTCGGGGAGATGAAAGTGATTGCCCTTGGAAAGTCACAGATTAAAATAAAACGTCCCGTGGGTTGTTCTCATCAGCGTTCTCAGAACAATTGGACCTGAAAGGGTCCATCCTTGGGTTTGATTGGAGGAGAATCCATGTAAGAGCTGAGACTTGGTTGAATGGTGAGGAGACGAGGATGGGGCTGTAGAAACAAGCATGATTCCACTTTACTGGACAGTTGCAGAGTCTTTTAATGATACAAGGTTCTTATTGAAACACTGGGTCAACATTTTATATCCATTAGGTAGCCACCAGTTACAAGGCTGAAACGCTCATGAAAAAGGCTACAAGAGGAAATATTGGTCATAATTACCAGTAATTTGTTTTTAAAACCAAATCAAATGTATTTTTTACACTGATTAAGACATTTCATAGTTTCATCATTATTGACAATAACATCTAACATCAGTCCAACAATGTTCAGCCAGGTCATCTGGACGGTTTCTTTTTTTGCTGAGACATTTC